TCACCCCAGAAAGAATGGCTGCTATCATGAAATCAACCGATAACAAATGCTGTCGGGGCTGTGGGGAAAGAGGAACACTGCTCCATTCCACTGCTGGTCGGAGTGTAGGTTGGTGCAACCACTGTGGAAATCAGTATGGAGATACCTCAAAGAACTAGGCCTGTAAGTCCCATTTGACCTAGCTACTTCCCTGCTGTGTATCTTCCCCAAAGAATTGAAAGAACATACCACAGTGATATATGTGCACCCATGTTCATAGCAGCACAATTTGCAATAGCTAAAACTTGGAAGCAACCCAATTGCCCATCAACTGGAGACTGGATAAAGAAAATGTTTTTTGTTGTTTTTTTTTTATAAATTAGAGTACTACTCAGCCATAAAAAATAAGAAATTAGAGACATTTATATTTATAGTTAAATAGATGCACATTGAGGCGATCCTCTTAAGTGAAATAAATAGGACACACATGTGTAAATACCGAATAGTTTCTCTAGTGTGAGAAAATGAAAGTGTAAATAAGGACTTAAAGGTATAATAGATACTGAGAAACAGGAAGAAAAAGGGCAAAGGGGAAGGGGAAGTGGGAGGGGTGGGGAAATGAAAGAAGGAAATGGAATTAATATGAGAAAATGAAAAAATGGAACCAAAGTCTTTGTAAATAGGGAGGGATGGAGGGGTTGAAGGGAGGGCAGGGGAAGTGGGAAAAAATAAGAACCAAGAGAGATTATGTAAAGGTGCAAATTTCCAATGATGAATGTTTTTATATTGTATACATAAAATATTTAACTAGCAGTTATCTTAGAATGCATTTCTTTGAGGTTACGTTTTTGGTAATCTCATATTCTTATGTCTTTATGTTTATGTCTTTCATTAACTTATGGAAAGGTTTCTTAAAAAAATATAAATAAATTATATTTCAGACATAGCTGTCCCTAGGATGTATGGTGTTCTGCATAAATATTTTTTCCAGGGCTCCTAGCTGTAGAACAATTTGATTAGAAAATGTATTATAAAATTCACGGGTGGTTGTGAGATCAAGGTGTTATCAAAATACACAGTGGATGTTTAAATTTTTAAAAATTTATTATAGCAGGAGTCACATTGCAGTTAATCTCTCTCAAAGTACTTCCCCTTGCTTTGAACACACTTATCCCTCCAATTTTGCCACTTTCAGAAGCAGTTCTAGTAGTCCTCTTTTGTGAATACCTTTACATGGTCTAATAAAAAATATAGTGAATGCTGCTGCTGGATGCCATCCAGTGGAAAATCAGACTTTAAAAATATTACGGTGAGTCCTCACTGACCTTGTTCAGCAGATCTGGCACTGTGCAACTTTTGATTCTTTCTCAAAGTCAAATGACCATGGAAGGTCAGCCTTTTGAACTGATTCAGAATACTGGGGCAGACACTTACAGTACAACTAAAGAGCCTGGTGAAAAAGGGTTTCCAGAATTGCTTCAGAAAGTGGCAAGAACAATGGGATGAGTGTTGAGAGTGATGAGAACTACTTTGAGGGGGACTAATGACTGTGTCATTTACTATAAAATTTTTAAAATTTAAACATTTTAAATGTTAAACATTTTAAACATCTAACTTTTTTTTAATCATACCAGATGTGTTTGATGTTCTGGCTTTTGGGAGAGGGGAGTTATTGCTTGAGGAATTGGTTTATCTCATCTGACTTAGAGTGCTGATGGAGAATCAGCATACTCTGTGTAGGGGGCCTGAGAGAACCAGCTTGTTCAAGCACCACAGTGATGGTAATGACACAGGCAGAGGTCAACCTAACTCAGTGTGTTCACGACAAAGCTCCTAACACATGCCTTCTCCCTTGCAAGAGAAAGAGAAGAATGAAACGGTGAAAGAGAATGAATGAAATAATGCCTCAATGTCCCAGCTTTTGGAAAGCTGCCCAAGGAAGTGGTTTTTGTCTTACCTTACTCTAAGCACTAATAGAACCAGTCAACTTTGGATGTCTGAGGGCTACAGAAAATAAAGAGTTCAATGACTTGTTACAATACCAGAGAATCCGCAGCACTACGGACAGACACCAGAGAAAGCAAGGGATTACAGCTCCTGAAGAGGAAATCAGCAAAATCTCTAATTGAAAATTATATACTTGAGCCCAGAGTATGTGCATCCCCACAAAGATTTGAGAATCTCAGAATCCAAAAATCTGTAATGAGGCTGATTGGTGAATGTCTTCCTAAGTTTGAAGCCAGTGCCTAAAGACTGGGAGAGGAGGCTGTTTTTTCAGATACACAGAACACAGCATAAAACCAAAAAATAAACAAAAATCTAGGCACATGATGAAACAGAGAAACATGGCCCGATCAAAGAAACAAAATAAATCTGCAAAAACAAAGAAATGGAGCTCTATAAATTGACAAAAAATTCCAAATAATTGTCTTTAAGGAATACAGATAAATAACTAAACAAAATTGATGAACAAAATGAGAATATCAACAATGAAAGAAAATACAGAAAGGAGCCAAACAAATTCTGGAACCGAAGAATGAAATAAATGATTGAAAAATTCACCAGAGGGGTTAAAAAGCAGTCTTGATCGATCAAAGGAAACAGTGAACTTAAAGATAGGTCATTTGAAATTATCAGGTTAGAATTACAAAAAGAAAAAAGAATGAAGAAAAATAAAGTCTAGAGGACTTATGGGACACCCTCAAGCAGACCAATATGCTTATTATGGAGATATCAGAGGAGAGCGAGAAAAGAGGACAAAAATTTTATCTGAAGAAATTTAGTCACCAAAAATTGTTCCAAATTTAAGAAAGCTATTGGACTTCCAAATTAAGCTCAAAGGACTTCAGCTAGGATGAACCCAAAGAGCCCCATGGAAGCACATTATAATCAAACTGACCAAAGTCAAAGACAAAGGGAGAATCTTGAAGTAGTAAGTGAAGAGTGACTTGTCAACAAGGAAGCTTCCAAAGATTATCTGGATGCAAAAAGGACTGAACCAATCCTTACCTTGCTAGAATCTAGTAGATATTCTGATTAAAGGCCAAATGGATTCTTTAATAATCATAAAGAATAATTATATAAAAGTAGTATTAATAAGGTAATACATTAGAGCTATTTTAATAATTTAGGAAGAAACACCTATGTTTACCCATTATCACAAAAAAATACACATATCTGTATCCATTACCTAGATATACTTACTTATTCATATTACATATAGGAAAAGCCACAATCTAGGAAAAGTCATGGGCTGGGAGATTTTTCCCAGTACACTGAGCTGTGTGCTGGCTTGGCAATCCTACCTTTAGGTATTTACTCAAGTGAAATGAAAACTTATATTCACATGAAAATATGTGAATATATATTCATAAATGCACCCAAACAAGCAATCAGGGTATGAATGGACAAGCTGTGGTTATCCATATAGTGGAATACTACTCAGCAGTAGAAAGTAAGATTATTAATTCCTCCAGGATCAGTGATCGTTAATTGCATTTGTACTAAGAAGATCACTGTTGGGGATGGGTGACAGGTGCGTGGGAACTCATTATTATCCTATTTTATGTATGACTGAAATTTTCCATAGTACATGTCTTAAAAGGGTATTTCAATACAGCATTTTAATGATGTCACAATGTCTAGGTGCTGCACAGATGTGACTAAATTTCCATGTAGCCAGAAGTTGTAACTTCTGCAGTGTTGCATATTAGACTGCTACTTAAATGAAGATCAAATCTGGTAATGTAAATAATTTTATCTTATTATCTTATAATAGATAATTTGAAAGCATTTTTGAATGATTTCTAACATAATTTGAGGAGGAAAAGCTTATTGGCTTATTGATTTTAAGAATTTAAATTGCCTAAGGCTGGCAGTTGGTAGAGCGCGTGCCCAGCACAGGTAAGGCTCTGGGGTCAGTCCTTACCAACACACACACACACACACACACACACACACACACACACACACACACACACGTACTAGAAAAATTGTAGAAAGCAACCAAACATGAGCAGCTAGACCCATGTAGTCTGAATTGAAAGGTAGATGACAGGGATGTGAAAGAGCACTTTTCCTTCTACGCTGGTCAATGAGGATGTCCATGAAAGAAGAAAAAATTTCCCTAAAACTGTATGTTTAGATTTGTGTTTTTCTTAACTTGAGAGTGTCTGAAATTTAAGAGCAGCAAATAATCATTCTCTTGGATCTAATTACTTGAGTTATTAAGATGATGCTCATGGAGTTCTATTTACCTCCAACATAACACCACCTATAAGTTTTCCCCAGCTATTTTAAGCAGTACTTGAAACACATTAAACTTTCAACATTTGTATTATCTTCTTCCCTTTAAAATAAAAAAAAAAACTCCTAAAAATTTATGAGGGGACCTGGACATGTTGGTGCATACATGATATTCCAGGACTTGGGAAGCTGAGGTAGAGGATCTTGAGTTTGAGGGCAGCCAAGGTGCTTAGCTAGAACATGTCTCAAAATAAAAATAATAAGGGCTGCAGATGTAGCTCAGTGGTAGAACACTTAGCAAGCATGCTGTGTTAAATCCCAGCAACATATAACACACACACAATTATGGGGAGGTTTTTGAAGTGATAGTAATGTTCTGTATGTCGAGAGCTATATCTTGAGAGATTTGGGATACATAGGTGTGAGCATGTATTACAATTTGGGAATTTACATTTAAGATTTGTAGCTGAGCATGGTGGTACATACCTCCCATGGTGCTAGGAGGCTGAGTTAGGAAGATTGCAAGTTCAACTCCAGCCTGGGCAATTTAGTGACTTCGCAAGATCTTGTCTCAAAATAAAAAAGGGCTGGGGATGTAGCTCAGTGTGAAGGCCCTGGGTTCAAACTCCATTACTGGAAAAAAAAAAAGGTCTGTACATTTGTATAAATATTACTTCAGAAGGAGAAATAATCAACAAATATTTTGCTCTCTTTAATAATATACATGCTGAATTATGTAGAGGAAACAACTGATATCTATATTTTTAATGCATCAAAAAATAACATGGATTGATGAATACATAGAGAAATTAATGGATATATGATAATCCAAGAATAGTTAAATGTGAATGGTAGAGTCTATGGTAGGTGTATGGTGTTCTCTATAAAGTTCTTTTAACCTTGCTTTATGTTTGTAAATTTTCATAATAAAATGTTTGAAAAAATATCTAGAATTGTGATGAGCCCTAGAGCGACAGGAAATGTAGGTGAGGATATTGCTATTAGACCTGTATTCTGCTTACCAGGTGTTAAAGAGCCTTTTGAACTTAATCTAATTTCCTGAATTTAATCTCTTGAGGTTTTATTTACTTAAGTCTAGTCACCTCATCCCTTTTTCTGTTTTGAATTTCTAGTTTATCATTTTCAAATATTTATCTTGGTTTACTATGAACTAGGCCCAGTCAAATATGGGGATGCAGTTTTTTGTTTTTTCCTGTTCCTATGGGGCTTCCATTCATGGCTTATTCTTTCTTTCTGTTTTTGTTGTTTGTTTTTTAAGATAGGTCTCTCTGTATCCCAGGCTGGCCTCATACTAGCTTTGTAGCCCAGGGTGGCCTTCATGACCTTCCTGCCTCAGTCTCTGGAGTGTGGGGTTACAGGTGTGCACCACCACCTCCAGGCCCAAGGCTTACAGTATTCTTAGTAGCTCTGATGTAGATGCAATGGGAAACGAAGGTGGTTCAATAGATCTCTAAGTTGGGGATGCCTAAGCTCTCCTGGTTTATGCCATTGCAGCTTCATTCTTTGACCTTCTCTGTGCTGATTCCTTGTTCACCAGGCCACCTTCTTATTCCCATGTAGGTCTGCAGAGAGAATGCAATATTTCTTTTGAGGATTTCTGGTCTCTGTGACAGTGATTCCTCAGGCAAACCAATAAAGTAGCTTGTGATTAAGAATTGACTACATTAACTATGAAGATTAGCATCCTAGAAATAACCATGGTCGAATCTCTTTCTCACTCAAAGTGAATTTGACAACAACTCTTTAAAACACTGAATTAACATGACTGAATCTCCTTGAGGCAAGTCTTCACATCTCTTTTCTGTTGGATTAATTTGAATAACTATGAAGAGATTAAAATATACTTCTCTGATAGGGATTCTAAAAAGTTCATTGCATAGAACCTACTCCAGATTCACTTTATATTTTCTGCATTTTTCTTTTGTTGCTGTTAAGAAAAGCCATGGGGTAAAAATAAATAAACAGATTAATGTATGTGTATATCTCTCCATCCAAAAGCTAAATACATGCTTGTATGTGTGTATACACACACACAAAACTATAGAAAAATACATCTTACAACTGAAATTCTTGAAACCACCAGTTAACTCCAGACATTCTGTTCCAAGGCGTGGTGGTGTACACAGCACTTAGGAGGCTGAGGCAGGAGGATCGACGTGAGTTTGAGGCCAACCTGGGCTACATAGTGAGTTTAAGGCCAGCCTGAACTACATAGCAAGACCCTGTCTCAAAAAACAACAAAACAAATGAACAAACAAAACCCCCAGAAATCCTATTCTGGAAAACAGTGACTAACATTGAATTCACAGTCTCTGGATGATCACAAAAGGCATATAGAAATTTTATTTCTATCTCGAGTTAGTAAGGCCAAAATTGCTCACAGTGAGTTTTGTGTATTCAGTACCATTTGAATGTATTCATCTAGCATTCTAACTGCTCTCACTGGTATGGCTCAGCAACAGAATCTATGGCCCAGCAACAGAATGCTAATTAGCATATCTGATGTGAAACAAAGTAGGGGTTAAACCAACCAAGTAACAAACTAACAGAGACACAATATGAAGATCCAAAGAGAACTGAACTAGTCCTTACCTTGCTAGAATCTACTACTAGTTATTCTAGCCAACTAATACTTTAATAATTCAAGTTATCATATAAAGGAGTACTAATAAAGTAATACATTAGATTTTTTTTTTTTTTTTGGTATTGGGGATTGAACTCAGGTCCTTGTGCTTGGGCAGCAGGTGGCGAAACCACTGAGCTAAATCCCTGGCCCTACATTAGATACTTTAATAATTCATAAAAAGTTATATGAAGGGGTATTAATAAAGTAATACACTAGAATTTTTTCTAATTGTATGGAGGGCATTCTGTATTTATCATAAATATTAATTATTATTCATTACATAACTCATTACATATATTCATTATTATACAAACATATTCGTATCTATTGCATTGATATATTTATTCATATTACTTTATTATACATTCAGTTATTACATATATGCTATTTACTTATATGATAGACAAGGCATTAGATGTTAACCATGCTTCAGGATTCACTTAAGACTGTATCACAAAATACTGTCTAAACCTCTCCACAAGATGTGTGAAATTCTAACACATGCACAGAAATTCAACATGGCTTAATTGATCAGCAGCTATAGACATAAGCTTAATCAGCCCTCTTTTTTTTCCCACCCCCTACCTTCATGAATTAGGACAGATTAGAGACATAAAAATGAGACTAGAGGGACTAGAGGTGTAGCTCAGTGGCAGGACACTTGCCCTTACCTGACTGAGGCCCTAGCACTGAAAATCTTGGGTCAGCTTTTACTACTGCATCCCAGCTGACTCTGTTCTTCAGAGACATCTGTATCAAAAACTCACTAAATTTACTCCACAAAGCTTAATGTGCTTTGTTTAAAATTGCTACTGGTCCTTGTTAGCATTTCGGGCATGTGTAAAAGCAGATTTTGTTTCTTTTATTGCAATTAAGTAAAATAGGAGTTGAGTATGGTTTTATGGTATTTTGGGTGGAGATTTTGATTTTGTTTGGCAACATGCCTTATATTTACTGAGATATAATAGGTAAGGATTTTCAGGGGCAAAAACTTGTACAAGGGTTTCCTATTAAGCCATTAGCTGTAAACACTTGGTTTTAGCCCCACATGTCCAGCTGGTCTTGTTAAGTTGCGTGTGTTAGGTGCTCTCAGTGTCCTCCTCACCTTTATCCCAGCCTCTCCTACTTCTGTTAGTGCCTATTTGATGTGAGAAAGTGTGTTTTCACTTTTTTAACCTTATGCTCTTCTGTTCTGCCTGCATTTTCAAAGATTTTATATATATATATATATATATATATTTATATTTCTTAAATTTGAATTGTAAACTTCAGATATTCACACTGGTGCAAACCCCAGCTCCATGACTATCCATATTTGTTTCTTAATCCTCTCTGTGTCCCCAACCTTGTTTCTTTTTCTTTTGCCCTCTCTCCATTCTCATGAAGTGTTTTTTCCTTCTTTCCTCTCTTCTTCCCTCTTGCCCTCCTTCCCTTCCTCCCTCCCCTCCTTCCTTTTTTCTCTTTTGCATAGATTTTCTAAACTGCACCCTTCATAAGACACATTTTAGAGGAGGTTTAGCAAAAGCCCTTGTTGGTAATTACATTCATGTTCTGATGTTAAGATGGATATTTCTGTAGGTCATGATTCCAAGAAGTCTGTCCAAAGTGATGATGACTGCATTGAGCAGTATATTTCTCTAATTCCTTTATTTTGTCCCCTCACCTCTTTCGAAAAGAACTTAGGAAAACAGGTTCCTCTTCCAAGTACTTTTTCCTTCTGGCTGGTATAATGGATATGTTATCAGCAGAATTTTCTCTAAAGTGAAAAAAAAATGCTATTGGAGACAAAGTTAGTCATATGGAATTGCTATGGGTTTTCAGAACCTGGAAAAGTTTGAGAAGAGGATCAGAAAAGAATTGTTGTATTTTAGAAATTGAGGGGGGCCTTCAGGCCTAGTTGAAAACCCATGACCAGATAAAGTCCTATTTAAAAAATCCAATAAGGTCTAAAGATGTTCTAGCGTCTTGTTACAAAAAATGCCAGGAATAGCCGGGCATGGTGGTACACACCTATAATTTTAGTACCAAGGCCAGCCTGAACTACACAGTGAGACTCTATCTTAAAAAAAAAAAAAAAAAATATATATATATATATATATTTCCAAGGCTTTATATATATAAAATATAATATGTAATATATATTTTTATATTATATATATATATATTCTGAAATTGGAGATTAAACCCAGGGCCTTCTCCCTGAGCTGCATCCCAGTACTTTTTACTTTTTATTTTCAGACCGTGGCTTGCTAAATTGCTCAGGCTGTCCTCGAGCTTGCTATCTTCCTGCCTTACCCTCCCAGAGGCCTGAACACCCAACTGTTGGTTTTATATTTTAAATATACTTACTAATTGAATGTCAAGATGAATTGATATCCTCTTATCTGCGTTCTTAACTTCTGCCCTTTCCCTGTGAGACTCTGACCTTTCTCTGCAGCCCCTTGCAGCTTCTTCCCTGAAGGGCTGGCCTTTGGGGTTGGGACTACTCCTAGGTGGTCTGAGTCTCCAAGGTAGCACCATCAGCTAGCTGGTTGCTCCTGTTTCTGCGCAGAGAGAAAATCTACAGAGAGTCACATCATTCCTTTCCTAACAAAAGAGCACTGTTATGCTGTTTGATTTGGGCTCTTGTTTGCAACTTTTGATTGCAAACTAATGGAGTCACATGGTGCAGCACCAGTGATTCACCTCTTAAATGGTATTATAAGGGTTCTGCAGTGGGTGTGTCCCCTTAGACTGTGTGATTCTTTAAGGCTGTGCCCAGCCTAGGAAAGCGTTGATCAAACGTTGCTTAGCTGAAAAGCGACGCTAGGACAGGAAGTCACTCGCTCTGCCAAACTTTGAGAGCAAAGGGGTGCACTTCCATCGCGGGGGTACACTCCATGGCCGGCAGAGGGCGCGCGTGCGCCAGTCGTCGTGGGCTGTGTCCCTTTGCACTTCAGGCTGTACTTATTTTATTTTTTTCCCCCATTAAGTTTATTGGTACATTTTAGGTATAAAATACATTTACATACATCTTTGGGATCTTGTACTATTACATGAGTATCTTGGTTCTTATTTTTTTTCCCCTTCCCCTGCCCTCCCTTCACCCCCTCCACCCTTCCCTATTTGCAAAGACT